CAAATATCTCCATCCCCATATTTCGACTTCCTCAACCAACTTTTCACCACCGCCACCATCCTTTCCGCCTGCCCATTTGAGCTTGGGTGGTAAGGAGGCGCCAAAATGTGTCTCGCCCCAGTTTCAGTACAAAACACTTTAAATTGTTTACTTATGAAAGAGGGTCCTCCATCCGACACGACTATTTCCGCTACCCCAAATTTTGCCCAAAGATCTTTTAACGTCTTAATTACTACTTGTGTTGTTAACCCCTTTACTTCTTGATACTCTACCCATTTTGAGTAAGCGTCCACCACGAGGAGATATATTTTATTTTCGAAGTCGAAAAAGTCTAAGTGCACTCTTTCCCATGGTTGAGTAGCCCTAGGCCAAATACTTTTCTTGTCCTTTCGAGGCATACTTGCCCATGAATTACACATTTCACAACTTCTCACCATATTCTCGATTTCTTTATTCATGCCAGGCCACCATACGTATTCCCGCCCCCATTGTTTCATTCGTTCCATACCCTGATGTCCAGCATAGATCATTGCCTTTACTGCCTCCCTTAATCTGGACGGCACCACTCCCCGACTTCCTCGTACCACACACTCGTCCACTATCGTTAGCTCTCCACTTGCTTGAACTTTTTGTCCCCATCTCGCCATTGCTTCCGACCCAATATGCACGCTTTGATTCTCGTCAACTCGCGATCTTTTAAAGTAGCATTTTTGAGTTATTCCCATGCAACTGGTCCTCCTTTAGATATTCCGACTATCGCTCTAATCAACCCGTGCTCATAATCTTCATCCATATCTTTCGACCTACTCGTTTCGCAATCCTCTCCCGCTCCACATCTAGAAAGAATATCCGGTAAGTAATTTTCTCTTCCTCGCCGGTATTTCACTTGCACGTCGAAACTGCCTACCAGCAATAGCCATCGCTGCAACCTAGGCGACTACATGAGCTCCTTGTTGTCCTTCCTGAAAAGATGAACCAAGGGCTTGTGATCCGTATATATGACAAATCGACGTCCGATCAAGTATTCCCGACATTTAATCAATCCAAATATAACCGCTAGCGCTTCTGGCTCGATCACTGAATATCTTGTCTCGGCCTCTCTAAAGATTCTTGAGAAAAATAAAATAGGTCTCTCCAATTCGTCTATACAATGTAATAGCGCTCCACCCACACCCCTATTCGAAGCGTCAACGGCCAATATTACTGGCACATCGTTATCAAAACACACTAGTACTGGTTCCCTTCCAATCCTCAATTTCAACTCCTCAAAAGCCTCCTCCTGTTAAATCTTCCATTCAAATCTTTCTCCTTTCTTTAACAATTTATACAACGGCGCCGCTATCTGCGCGAAGCCTTCCACAAAACGGTGATAATAATTCACCATTCCCAAGAAAGCTTGTACTTCCACTTTATTATTAGGCTTCAACATGCTTGTTATATTTGCCATATTTTTGTCTAAAGGTCTGACCTCTTTCCCTTTGATTTGCCCCAAATATACGATTTTTGAAACCCCCAGCACACTTTTTTCAACGCTTGCCCGCAATCCTTTATCTTTAATCCTTTTGAACACCTCCTCCAATCTTCGTTCGTGTTGCTCGGGAGTCTTTCCCATCACTAATACGTCATCCATGTAGTAAAATACTCCCTCTAGTCCTTGAAAAACTGCCGCCATCGTTCGTTGAAAAATTGGAGCCGACACGCTAAGTCCAAACGGCAATCTACAGAAGGCATACAATCCCTTCGGAGTCGTGATCGTTAATAGCTTTTGTACCTCGGGTTTCACCTTCAATTGTAAGTAAGCGTTCGAAAAGTCCACCTTTGAAAAATATATGCTACCCTTCAAATTAGCTAATATTTCTTCAATCCGAGGTAACGGATATTTTATCTCCACAACCCACGAGTTTAGCGTGACCCGAAAATCAGCGCAATAACGAAGCTTTCCATTGGCCTTCTTCACGGGTACTAACGGTGTTGCCCATTCGCTATATTCCACTGGACAAACAATGCCCTTCTGCACCCACTGCTCCAATTCCTTGTCTACTTCATTTCGCCATTCGAACGGTATCCGACGTAATGCACAAAACTTGGGCACATATCCCTCCTTTAATTTGATATCCACTTCATAATCTCGGAGACAACCCAACTTCTCATCAAAAATCTCCTTGTAATTTTTCATCAAGTTTCTCACTCCCTCTTGTACTTTGATCATACCAAATTCTATCTCTCTATCCCGCAATTCCCTCTCTTCCCGTCGTCTCGTTTCCTTTCCATCCATTTCCATTTGTGGCTATGTGTTCCCTTAGAATTTCCTTGTTCCAAATCATCATCTTCTCTAGTTTCTTCTTCTGGCAACATTATTTTCCATCTGCCAATTCCTCCAGCTCCGCTTCAAACTTTCCTTGATCATGAATTTCTTTCTGTTCTTCAGTATCATTTCTTTCTTCCTTTCTCCCAAAGTCGCGACAACTCCTAAAATTCCCCCCGATACCTCCCCTATAATTCCCCCCAATATCTCCCCTATAGTTCCCCCCAAAACCTCCCCTATAATTCCCCCCGATACCTCCCCTATAGTTCCCCCCGATACCTCCCCTATTATTCTCCCCAATACCTCCCCTAAAATTCTCCCCAATACCTCCCCTAAAATTCCCCCCGATATCTCCCCTATAGTTCCCCCCAAAACCTCCCCTATAGTTCCCTCCAAAACCTCCCCTACAGTCTCTAACAACCCTATTATCCTCTCCTCTCCTTTCCCCTTCCAAAAAGGTTTCAATTCCTGGCAATCTTTCTCCATACCACAAATTCATATCTCTAATTTCTTCACATCTTGCAACAGGTAAAAATACACCACACCATGCGAATACCCCCCAAAAACCACAATCTGGACCAATTCGGGTGGTCCAATCCCATCCCACTACTGACTCTACTTTTCGATCTACTATCCATAAGTCCAAAATCTCCACTCTATTCTCTAATACCACCTTTAACTCCACCCTTCCCATCTATGCGACTTCTGATCCATCCAACTGACGGATCTTGATGTCCTCCCGTTTAATTATCCCTTCCGACCAAATACTCTGATATTTCTCATATCCCATCACGGATATGGCTGCCCCGGTATCAAATAACATGGATACCATATTTCCATTCAAATTTATCCAAACTCTAGGGCAAGGATCATGTATCCTTTCCTCTTGTATCATATTTATGCCCTTTGATACCCAATCTTTCTCACTATAATCTAATCTTTCCATCTCTTTCGCCCAAAGCCCCCCGACCTTTGCGGCATGCTCTTTGCCATCATATAGTCACAAATACTCGCAATCTCTCGCCCCATGTCCTTCCTTCCGGCAACGGAAACAGATTCTATTCTGCTCTTTATTCACAGCCAAAAATGGTATTCTTACCTCTTTATTTTTTTCACTTTCTATAATTCTAACATTTGGAGCACTTTGCCCCATGTCCCTCTGTGGAAAACCGCCTCTAGTTTTGAAATTACCCACATTGCATTCCTCCCTATTGTGACCAAATCGACCACAACCTGCACATCGTAGCTTATTACGTCTTCCTGGACAAAACGTGGCTATATGTCCATATTTTCCACATTCAAAACATTTCGTTTCTTGGCAATCTCTGACCATATGTCCCTGTCTTCCGCAATTATAACAATTCATTCTCCCCCTTACTCTAGAATCAAAGTTGGGTCTCATTTCTCCTCTCCTTCCCTGAGAACTTTCTCTAGGTCCCCTATATGTCCCCAATCTCTGATTAGTATATGAATCTCTCCTTTCAGGCCTATAGGTTAATTTATCTAATTCGCTATCCGTCCACCCATTAATTAACTCCTGCACTGGGAACCATGTTACCTTTCCCATAACATCCTCTTCCTCATTATGTCCTTCTATCGTCAATGTCTGCCCCTTTATTTTCACACTTCGACTTCTCAACTTTCTTCCCCATATTAAGCTACACATCCATATTACTAATATAACCAATGCCCCAAAAATATTCTACTGTATTTCTCAGTATTTTACAAATTTTAAACTTTTCATTTCGACCTTATAAAAATTTATAATTAATTTCAAAATAAAAATTTTGGTTATTTGTAATGTTAATAGATATGATATTATTAATAGTGTAAACAACCCAATAATACACATGCACATCTACAGTTAATAAGTCTAAAGATACGACAAAAATTTGGGCAAATTTTGTGTAACAGATTTACAACTCGTAAAATTCGGACAGCACTTCCTTACGATAAGACTTTTTTTTTTATTTTGAGAGAGAAGAAAAAAAATAAATAAAATAAATGGACAGCTGATGTCGATGATGAAGACGATGTACAATTCACTTCAAGACTCAAATACCACTATATGATATTTTTCACTCGAAGACTCAAATACCACTATATGATATTTTACCGTAGATGTAGATGATGAAGACGATGTACAATTCACTTCAAGACTCAAATACCACTATATGATATTTTTCACTCGAAGACTCAAATACCACTATATGATATTTTACCGTAGATGTAGATGAAGACGATGTACAATTCACTTCAAGACTCAAATACCACTATATGATATTTTTCACTCGAAGACTCAAATACCACTATATGATATTTTTCACTCGAAGACTCAAATACCACTATATGATATTTTACCGTAGATGTAGACTCAAATACCACTATATGATATTACAACAACCGCACTAACCAGGTTGTTTTGTGTAATATAAATTGAATTTTAATTGAATATAATATTAACTTTTCGTTTGTAAATTATATAACCTGAAGGATTGAATTCATGATATATATATACGTGATATTTTGTATTAAATTTACTTATACTTACTTTTATTTAATAAAACACTTCATTGGCGACGATATTTTTAGAGAAGATTTATTTGATTTATTAAATTTAAAGTAAAAGACTCAATGGAAGTAGCTCCTATTAAAGTTGAAGATTCAATGGAAGTAGTCCCTATTAAAGTTAAAGACTCAATGGAAGTAGTTCCTATTAAATTCCATATTCCAGAATTCGTCAAAGAAAAAGTAAATATTCAGGACTACTTATTTAACTTGGAGTTAATTTATAAAGTAAGAAATATTATAGATTTAAATACAAAAAAAGACCTGCTTTTAGCCTATATCGGAACAGACAATCTTATCAAAATTAAGAACTTTCACTTTCCAATAAATTTAGAGATGATAAATTATGATACTTTAATAAAAAGCTTAAATTTGGTGTTCAAGGATAGTTCGAGCATTTTCGTAAATAGGAAAAAATTTTTTACGTTAAAAAGATCACATTATTGACTTTTCAATTAGGGTTAAAACTGTCTGTTCTCTTTGTAATTTTAAACCGCCTTTTGATGAACTTTTAAGAGATATATTTATCCTAGGAGTAGGCTTACCTGAGTTGGACAAAGAACTTCGGTCAATCGAAGGCAATATTACTTTTGAAGAGACCGTGCGTTTAGCGATCGCGCTGTCTTCGTTGGAAAATGAAACCCAGACTGAAGAAATAAAATAATTAAAAATAAGCCAACACAGGGTTCGAAAAATAATTATTTTAGAAATAATAATTATACAAACTTCAATAGATTCAATAATAATAAACACTTTAGTAACAATTATATTCCTAATAATAATTATAGACCTAGTATCAAACCTAACTCTATTCAAAAGAAAGTGATATGCTTTCGTTGCGATAAGGCAAACCACATAGCGAAAGATTGTAGAACCCATGCCATACAAATGATTCTGCCCACCTCGCCTGTCATTTTCAAATAAAGCAACCATCGATGCGAAGATAAATGGGTTGCAGCTAGCTATGGAGTTTGATACAGGCGCCGCGTGTAGTGTGATTGAAGATGCACTCTAATTTTTTTTGGTGTCAACGACTTGGGGGTCTGCTGGAGGGGAAAGTCTCCAGTTGTTTTGGGAGGAGTTTTAAAATTAAATCCTGGAAGGCAACTAAAATAAAGTCATTTAAGAATGATATTAATTCAAAAATCTCATAATTTGAAGTTCATTACATTTAAATATTTGGGCGAAAAGGCCGAAAACTAATTTATTTCTAAAAGGGAGGAAGGAAGGAAGCTTCGAAATCTTTAGGTTTAGGCTATATCTTTCTGGCTAACATATTGAGTTAGCCGTTCTAAAAAAATAGGCTCAAATCAAGACATTTAACAACATTACCTATATCACCAGCGGTGATGAAGACTAATTCTGGGAAAACCCCCGTTGCAGGAAATGCCAAATTGGTATTCCATATCAAATCGATTATTTTTCGGCCCGACAATATTAATTTTGATAAAAATTATCATACTGAGAGAACATCATTAGAAAGCATCGAATCCAAAATTTTGCCTCCAATTACTAATAGTTTCTGAGATATCAAGTGTCAAAAGATCCAAAATCTTTATTCGAAAATTTTCTTTAATGAGATAAATTATAAAATAATGATGTTAAAAATAAAAATTGTGTGTCATTTTTTAACTCTATTAAAGGACTCTATTAAAGGACTTTTATTAAATATTTAGGATTATTTAATCTTGCGGTTTTTTTTTAAATTTTGAACCTGAAAACTCCCGGTGTTTTGCTTTCCGAATTTATTTGAATTTAATATTTTATTATTTACTTATATTATATATATAAGTAATAAAATTTAAACTTGGGACAGCCATAGGTTTAGTTATTACGATTTTTAAAAAAATAAAAATATTTTTTTTAAAAGGTGCTACTATATAAAATAACCCATTTTTGTCAAAATTATTAATTTTTTTGAATCTTTTCCATTTTTAAACATAAATAATATGATTTTCCAGTATTAATATCATTAAAAATATAGTCGCCTTTGACAGGCCTTATAATTATTAATATTAATATCTTGGAAAAAATAATTGTTATATATGATTAAATTTCCTAAAAAGATAGTTACGACTAATAATTATTGAAAGATAAAAGCCAGTTTTCATACTGCCGGTTATTAATTAATTTTTATTTAACAAATGTTTCGATATTAATTATATTTTTTTCATAGAACTAAGCATTTTAATTATAAAATGAATCTGCTAAAAATTCTGACATCTAAATTTCCAAATATTAAGACGTAAAACACTATATTTCTGATCAATGCCGTAAGTATTACAAAAAAATCTAAAAATATAAATTCTGACAGTGAATATGAAATAGATAATATCATCATAGAATCCACATCAATAGACACAAGCAATATTCTTTAAATGAAATTGGAATATCTCCTGTTAAGAAAAAAAACTTACTAAAAAATGATTTAAAAAAAGATAGCGAAAATATTAAAAGCTATTTCAGAAATATAATTAAAAATCCAGAATAGGTTAGTTGCCAAGGAAGGATTACAAAGACCTTATCTAGATCAAAAAATTAAACCGATACAATTTTAAAATAGGATGAAGAGCCTATAAAAGATGTAAATTTTTCTTATACCTACATAACACAGTATAAGGCTAGTAAATTTATCTTAATACTTGGGACATAAAAAATTCACATAGTCTCTAAAATCGGTTTAACTAAGCTCAATATTAAAATGTATTCCAATTAGCAGAAGTTTATTGTGAAGAATATAGTAAATCCATGTAAGGATATGTTAATCAATGAAAATAGAGGATAAGTGACCTGTATGTAAGAAACGATTGAGGATTTGTGTAAAAGTGGATGTAAATAAAGAGAAATGAAAATAACCTATTCCATCCTAAAGGACGAACAAATTCTTTGGTTTATTCAGCGACACCTGATCTCCTTTTTATAACAAAAAATAATATTTTAACAGTGAGCTCATCAAAGACGACTGGGGGTACTTATTATTTATGCAAAACGGATTAAGACGTTAAAAACTCAATTTGATAAAAAACCGAAAATAAGTAAAAACTATTATAATCGAAGCTAAATTTCATAATGATATTAAAAATATTTATGTTTAAAAATGGAAAAAAATCAAAAATATTAATAATCAAAAATGCGTTATTTTATATAAGTTTGCCATGTATTTCTGGAAAAAATATTTTTATTTTTTTAAAATCGTAATAATTAAAAAACACATGGCTGTCCCAAGTTTAAATTTTTTACTTATAGATATAAGTGAATAATAAAATATTAAATTCAAAGAAATAGGAAAGCGAAACATCTGGAGTTTTCAGTACAAAAATAAAAACCGCAAGATTATTGTTTTACTAAAATCCTTAATATTTAATAAAAAGCCTTGAATAGAGTTACAAAATGACATACAATTTTTATTTTTAGCGTCATTTTATAGCTCATCTCAATTTTAAAAAATGGAATTTTTCGAAAAAAGATCTTTATGACCATTGATATCTCACTATTAGTACTTGAAGGCTAAAATTTTGGATTCGATGTTTTCTAATGATGTTCTCTCAGTGTGCAAAATTTTATCAAAATCAAAAGAGTCGGGCTGAAAAGTTATCAATTATGCAAATACTAACTTCAAGGTTGTCAAAGTTGGAAACCTTATTTACCCCCAATAATCAAGAAGATCGATTGGAGATAAAATATTGATATCCTTGTTAATTAATCAAATTTAAATTTGTATGATTCATAAAAGAATCAAATAAAAAATATGCAAAATATATGGTAATTTTTTTATATTAGTTTATTAATATACTTTACTTTTCTATCGTTAAAGAATTTTAAAAAAACCCTTAAACATATTTATTTTCACTTTCACTTTTTTTATTGAAGTTAAGAAGATTAATTAAAAGGAAAATTATTCTAAAAATAAATAAATAATAAAATAAAAATGTGGATAAAATCCTTATTGGTTAAATTTTTAAAAAATATTGGCCAGTCCTCAATAGATATCTGGTTAAAAATAAAATATTATATATACCAAATTAAAATATTAACTATATTTTTATAAAATTTGTTAAATAATGTTTGAAATATTGAGTTAAATCATTTATTTAAAAAAAATCACGATGATTTAAATCTGCCAACTCAAGAATTCTAATTATTTATAATTATATTCTTTGTCAAATTTTGATATACATCTGGTTTAAGTTTTATGTTTTAATCTATAAATAAAGTTTTTAAAAAATTTTATACAAATTTTGGTTCAAAGATTTTGATTTTAAACATTTTTTTTATTATAATTTGTAAATGTAGATTATTTCAATATATTAATTTTTTTTAAAAATTCTCCAAAAAAATAATTGTATTATTATGGAAATATTGAGATGAATTTTTTCCTCATTAAATGAAAAGCTTAAAATTTTTTAAATTTTACTTTTTTGTGATCAGAACCATTTGAGAAATTAGAGAATTTTTCCATATTATTTAAATCAGTATCTTGATTATTAGCAATTCCATTGATGGCAAATAAAATTTTAGTCATTTTCAAATCAATTGTTTTTATTGTTATAACACGACCTATTGCAATATCAAAATCAGGACTAGAACCTGAACTTTTTAAGAAATCTTGAGTTTTCAAATTTTCAACCAACTTTGTCTCACCATTTTGAAGTTGGATAAAACTTCCTTTTTTAAAAATCGAAGAATCTGAAGGGCAAATACTGTTCATATTACTTAAGTCAACATTTCCTAGCACATTCTTTTTGATAATTTTATCTATTGAAAAATGATTAACATTGTTTTTATTTGTATTTTCTATTTCTAATAAAGAGGCTAGTTTGTAAATACATATCAAATTACCTATTTCAATTTTTGCTGTATCCGACTGAATATCATAGTCCTCATCTTTACTTATTGATATTACTCGCATCCTTTTATGTAATGGTTCATCATATAATGCACTTTCAATCTATATAAAATTATTTCAAAATATAAGTTAATTAATAAACTTTTGGTTTTACATAAATATTATTATTTTTAATGTCATTTTCAATAATATTTTCATTTACATCATCTTTTTCTAAAATATCATTTTCATTTAATTTTTCTCTATGATCATTATTAAGAATAGTTGCTAATTCCTGTCTACATTTAATTTCATCAATATTATTCATGTTATCATAATAATTGTGAGTAAGTGAATAGGAATTTTTTAAAAATGGGGCTGGCATATAAGGTGAAAGCAAAGGTAACAATGGATTAGATATTAAAGGTGTATATGTCAAAAAGGGACTTAATGGTAAATGAGGTTGTAAATTTAATGTCAATTGGGGTATAAATAGTCCTAATGCTTGATATATATTGGTGTGTTCATCTTTTGGTTTATAATTTTTTTCTTCAATATAAGAGCATTCTGATGCACCTGATGTGACATTTTTTAAATATTCAGAATTCATACTTTTCTGCAAATCTTGTTCCATCTTTATTAGATAATAGTCATTTTTATCAATAAAGGCATAATTTTTATTATCTTCAATATTTATTTTATTTGAGTCATTAATATAACCAGATTTAATAACATTTCTTGTATCTATATAATGAACAGGTGATGGGTCAAATGATGGTATCATTAATGGAGATGGATGTGAAATTAAAAGATGCTTAGTTGGATATAACATAGGAAAAATTGGATATTGTGGTGATGAAAAATATGGTAGAGAAAAATATGGATCAAATGTACAAACATCATTCTTTTTAAAAATATTGTTAAATTTTAAAGATGATTCTGAATTATTATACTGACAAGTAGCTTCCTCATTATCTCGATTATCTGGCAATTCTTTAATAAAGTTTACGTCAAGCATAGGAATAAATTGGTTTTTAATGTTCATTTGTTAAATCAACAAGAAATCACTAAAAACAGATTATTTGATGGTTCCATGTCAATTCAGCGAAACTTTTATCGCGAATGTAGTTTTTAACGCGAAAGAATTTTACCCTGAATTCAAGAGCGATTGCGATTTCGCCGTGAATTCGCTTTCATAGTGCAAAGCGATATTATAAATTCAAGATGGTAGCGATTCTCAAAGCGATATTATAAATTCAAAATGGTAGCAATTCTCAAATTATCATTTTTTTACATAATGATCTTAAAGAGAAGAAGATTAAACCCAGTTAATATTAATAAAACAAAAGAGGGCGAATTTTACGTTCTCTTTCCTAAACTATTGAATAATGAGCCTAAATTTTATAATTACATGAGAATGACCAAAGTATTATATTTTATCTATAATTCATTTTATTAGGAAACTTTTTATTATATACTAAAACATGTTAAACCTTTTTACCTTTTTTACATACCAAATCTACAAATTTTATAAAACGTCCTATAAGTGTTGAAGAACAGCTTATGGTTTGTAAGGTAAAAATAAAGCTATTTATTATTTAAATATATTTTTTATTTAGATATTTAGGAACATGCTGTAGGTATCCTACCTTGGCCTATTCTTTCAAAATGGGTATTGTAATATAAATGTAATTGTAAATTGAATTTAAATTGAATATATAACTTTTCGTTTGTAAATTACATAACCTGAAAGATTGAATTCATTATATATATAAAAGAAACTATTTATTTTTATTCTTTTTTTAAATCAAATTTATTATTATTCTCTTTATATCTAAAAACATAGTATATATATATAAAAAAGTTAATTGAAAAATATATAATATTACGTTTTTGTGAATAGTTAAATTATATCAAACACATCAATTTATAATATAAGATTAACTATTCAAATTTAAGATTAATTCTTTAAATTTATATATGATCAATCAACATTCCCCCTCTTCAACAAAGAACGAAGCTTCTTCTCAGCAGTCATCGAGAGCTTGTTGTCCCAGAAGTTTTTTCCCGTTTCGATTGTACTTGGTTTTATCTTGGTTAGCGCATAAGTCTCAAATGTTCTCGTAGGCTTGATTCTATCACGTAGGTTTGATAAAATCGTTTATTAGAGTTGCGTGAGTTTGTACGTAGGCTTGATATCCTTATCGTATGTTGTTCATATTTCTCAAAATTGTTATTATCATTAATCCAGTTGAATATTGGAATTTGGAATAAATCGGAATATGTAATTTGGAATAGTTGATCAAATCAAATATATGAATAATATGCACGATTAAAATTTTGAATTTCGGAACAATAAAATATGTAATAAGGAATGATAATTTATGGAATAAGGAATAAAATTTTAATCCAGAATAAGGAATAATAAATTATTATATTATTTTTTAGGTGTTAAGTTAATCATAGCGTTTTATACTTTTAGCGTTTTACATTTTTTGCGTTTTACATTTTTTAGCGTTTCAATATTTAATTAGTAGCGTTTTAATATTTAATTTATTTTTATTTATTTTCAATCTCCGAGGTTAAAATATGCAAATATTATGCACATTTCCCTCTCTTAAAAAAAATTTAAAATTTCACACAATATTTTTCTAAAATAATGATGTTTAATTTTTACATAACCTTTTGTCTTCAAAAGCTTTATTTCAAAAATATTTTTATCAAATTAAGTATTACTTATAAGGGTTATTTAAATCAATCCCTTTTAATTCATATGTTTTAACTTCTTAGTCATCTCCATAGGTTACGCAGTCTCCATAGGTTAGATAGTCATCTCAGTAGATTAGGTAGTCACAATAGATAAGGTAGTCATAATAGGTAGTCATCTCCATAGGTTAAGCAGTCTCCATAGGTTACGCAGTCTCCATAGGTTAGATAGTCATCTCAGTAGATTAGGTAGTCACAATAGATAAGGTAGTCATAATAGATAGTCATCTCCATAGGTTAAGCAGTCTCCATAGGTTAGATAGTCATCACAATAGATTAGGTAGTCACAATAGATTAGGTAGTTATAATAGGTAGTCATCTCCATAGGTTAAGCAGTCTCCATAGGTTAGATAGTCATCACAATAGATTAGGGAGTCACAATAGATTAGGTAGTCATAATAGGTAGTCATCTCCATAGGTTAAGCAGTCTCCATAGGTTAGATAGTCATCACAATAGATAGTAAATAGGTAGTCATATAAATAGAGTCATCTCAATGGATTAAATAATCGTCACAATAGGTAGTCATATAAATAGAGTCATCTCAATGGATTAAACAATCGTCACAATAGGTAGTCATATAAATAGAGTCATCTCAATGGATTAAACAATCGTCACAATAGGTAGTCAAATCAATAAATAAGGTAGTCATCAATTTCAAATTTAATTTAATTTATACTTTTTTATTTTAATTTTAGGCAAATTTTCTATATTTTATTCTTTCTTTTTTTACAAAAACGTAACAGGGCGCCATAAAAGAAACAAGAAGTTAACAAGTTATATTTATTCTAAATCAAAAAATTTTTTTTTTTTTACCTTTTATAATTTTGTAAATTTGGATAAAATTTTGACTATCGAAAAGAAAAGTCAAAAAATTTTATTTTTCCTTATATCATCTCCAATATCGAACGACGAATTTGATAAGTAATTCGTTTACTTTTTATTTTTACAAAAGAATTCAAGGTTAGGATATTTTAAACTTTTATTATTTTACTTTGTTTTATTTTTTTTTAAAAGAGAAAGAAAAACGAAAAAACGTACCACCGTAACCGGGGCACCATAAAAGAAACTATTTATTTTAATTCTTTTTTTAAATCAAATTTATTATTATTCTCTTTATATCTAAAAACATAGTATATATATATAAAAAAGTTAATTGAAAAATATATAATATTATGTTTTTGTGAATAGTTAAATTATATCAAACACATCAATTTATAATATAAGATTAACTATTCAAATTTAAGATTAATTCTTTAAATTTATATATGATCGATCAACAATATATATACGTGATATTTTGTATTAAATATACTTTTACTTACTTTACCTATTTTACTTATTTAATAAAACACTTTATTGGCGACGATTTTTAGAGAAGATTTATTTGATTTATTAAATTTAAAGTAAAAGACTCAATGGAAGTAGCTCCTATTAAAGTTGAAGATTCAATGGAATTAGTTCCTATTAAAGTTAAAGACTCAATGGAAGTAGTTCCTATTAAATTCCATATTCCAGAATTCGTCAAAGAAAAAGTAAATATTCAGGACTACTTATTTAACTTGGAGTTAATTTATAAAGTAAGAAATATTATAGATTTAAATACAAAAAAAGACCTGCTTTTAGCCTATATCGGAACAGACAATCTTATCAAAATTAAGAACTTTCACTTTCCAATAAATTTAGAGATGATAAATTATGATACTTTAATAAAAAGCTTAAATTTGGTGTTCAAGGATAGTTCGAGCATTTTCGTAAATAGGAAAAAATTTTTTACGTTAAAAAGATCACATTATTGACTTTTCAATTAGGGTTAAAACTGTCTGTTCTCTTTGTAATTTTAAACCGCCTTTTGATGAACTTTTAAGAGATATATTTATCCTAGGAGTAGGCTTACCTGAGTTGGACAAAGAACTTCGGTCAATCGAAGGCAATATTACTTTTGAAGAGACCGTGCGTTTAGCGATCGCGCTGTCCGTTGGAAAATGAAACCCAGACTGAAGAAATAAAATAATTAAAAATAAGCCAACACAGGGTTCGAAAAATAATTATTTTAGAAATAATAATTATACAAACTTCAATAGATTCAATAATAATAAACACTTTAGTAACAATTATATTCCTAATAATAATTATAGACCTAGTATCAAACCTAACTCTATTCAAAAGAAAGTGATATGCTTTCGTTGCGATAAGGCAAACCACATAGCGAAAGATTGTAGAACCCATGCCATACAAATGATTCTGCCCACCTCGCCTGTCATTTTCAAATAAAGCAACCATCGATGCGAAGATAAATGGGTTGCAGCTAGCTATGGAGTTTGATACCGGCGCCGCGTGTAGTGTGATTGATGAGGTCACCTGGAATCGTATTGGCAGACTACAACTATCACCGGCTTATAAATTAGTGGGATATAATCATATCCAAATCGAAGTACTAGGTAAATGTACCGTAGAAGTCAAAGTAAAAAATATTTCGAAATTTTTACTTATTTGGATAGTTAAAGGGGAGAATTCCCTTATTTTTGGGATGCCTTTCATTAGAGAATTTGATATAAAACTACCGGAAGAAGTTCGTATTAATAAAATAAATATGAATGTTCCCTCTTTAAATACGATTGCTTCAAAATTCCCTCAAGTTTTTTAAAAAAAATTACATGAAATCAAACTGCAAAAGGCAGTCATCCGAATAGAACCGAACACGTTACCGATTGCATTACCAGCAAGAAGAGTTCCTTTTCCGTTGCGTCGAACCATTGAAGCTGAGTTGGACAGACTTTTAGACGAAGGCGTTATCGAGAAGGTGGATCCAACAATAACTCCAATCACTTGGGCTACGCCAACGGTTAATATCTTAAAGAAATCCGGTGCCGTACGGATATGCGGAGATTTTTCGTTTAACAATCAACAAATATCTAGCAATCGATAACGATTTACTACCAACTTTCGTCGACCTAACAAATAAAATCGCGGGTGGTAAAATATTTTCAACAATAGATTTAAGAGATGCATTTTTACAATTCGGAGTTAGTCCAGAATGTAGGGACCTTTTAGTAATTTCGACACATGTCGGTTATTACCGATACCAAAGAATTCCATTTGGTTTGACTAGCGCTCCGATAATATTCCAACGCTTTATGAAAAACCTATTAAAGGGAATTCCTATGGTTAGTGTATTTTTAGACGACATAATTATTGCAGGTGAGAATAATTCCGATCACATAGTTAATTTGGAAGAAGTATTAAGAAGATTTGAGAAGGCTGGACTGACCATGACTACCGATAAAATTAAAATCGGAGAAAAGTCAGTCACTTATTTAGGTCATGTTATTGACAGTTTCGGAAT